TTAGCTTTGTCGATCCTAACTCGCCACGCCACTCCTAATGGCTAGCGGTCAATCGAGTCGTCTATTGCCCCACTCAAGCGTTTTACAAGGCGAAAACGTGATCGCAGTGTCACGACGGGCGCGTCTGGCGCAAGCGGCGAGGCGTGTCGTCGCAGTAGCCAGCAGCTGCACCCTGCCGGCAAAATTCATACGCCATTGAGGCGTTCCGGATTCGGCTACGGGGTCGCGTGCCAGTCCTTGATCGAGTCCGGTGGTTGCCCGTACCATTGCCAAAGACGGCAGTCGGCGGGCGCACTGGTGGCTCATGAGCTGTGCAGCGGGAGTGGGCGCGGCGTGTGAAGACCTCGAAGGACTGACTGGCCCTTCGGACGTGTGAGACGTGGGTAAAGCAAGCTCGGGCCATGTTGCGGGCGTGGGTCGTCGCGTAGCTCAGTCAGAGGGCGCAGCGCGACGGCGCATGGGAGAGACGTGTTGTGCCACAGTGGTTGGTCATGCGGCGTCAGCTGACATGTCGCCCCCTCTTGGTAAACCGAGTACCGCATCTCCATCCACAACGTGAGCAAAAAGCGCCATCGGAGAGGAATGCGAGCCGACTTGAGGACGGCCTGAACGACGGGGTGCTCGGGGTCGCCATGTAGCAAATCTTGAAGGTCGCCCCACGGCGCATATTGGAGCGAGACGAGTGACCATCCTGGCGAGATCCATGCTGGACGCGAGTCGGACGGTTACTGCACGGCTTGGGCGACCCGCAACATGCCAGCGCGGTGGCGCGCCCGGACGAGGCTCATGCCTCCAAGGCGACGAGGGGAGAACGCGATGTCTTGGTACCAATGAGGGGCAGACAGAGTGTGCGCAAAATGACGATTTTGCCGACTAGCGCGTTGAGCATGTACGACCAGAGCCGAAGTCGGTCGGCGAGCGTGGCGAGGGCGTAGTCAAATCGAGCGTGGGGGCCGAGGTTCGGCGCGACCAAAATACCGAGGGCTTTCATTGGATGCGTCGACTGTACCACGAGAAGCCCGCGAGACCGGAGCGTACGTGAGAAGCTCCGTCTTGTGGCGGTTGAAGCGAAAGCCCGAGACCACACAGAATCGTTTCACCAGAGCAAGTTGAGCGTGGAGTGCTGGTTCAACACGCGCAATCAGCTGCGTGTCGTCCGCGAAGCAGCTGGCTACGTGCATCACACCGTTGACCTGGACATCGAGGTCCGATCGACTGCGCAGCAAATCGCAAAGTGGCTCCAGGGCGAGGACGAAAAGAAGCGGCGACTGCGGATCCCCCTGCAGGACTCTTCGGCCGATGTCGAGCGCGCGCGAGAAGCTGCCGTTGACCAGTTGCCGCGACTGGCGGCCCGAGCGGACCGTGTCGACGAAGGGCAGCGGCAAGCCAAGGCGAGGCAGCAGCCTTGCGAGGTACGAGCGGCAGACGCGGCTTCAAAGTCCAAAAGGGCGATGAGCGCCGTCGGCGCGTGGTCCTTGCAGTACGCGAGCATGTCGTCGAGCCGCATTGACAATCAAGCGACCGTGGATGAATCCGTTCTGGTCCGAATGAACGAGCCAGTCGGCACACGGCTGCACGCGGTTGGCCAAGACCTTGGCCAGCATCTTCACGACTGTGTTAATGAGGTTGATGGGCCGGTAGTTGCCTGCTGCCCGGTCTTGGGCGCCCTTCTTGTGGAGCAAGATCGTCGTGCCCCGACACTGCGCCAGCGTCAACGTCGAGTGATCATGGAGGCGGTGCATAACCACCATCTTGAGGGCATGCACCCATTGTGTCGGTGCCCGTTGGAGGACTTCGTTGGGGAGCGCGTTGGGGCCTCAACGGTTTCGGTTTGTAATTGAGTCGATTTTTCTGAAAAATCGGAGCAAGTCACTTTGGTGTTTCTGCAATTAGCATCGACATCCCAGATTCAGTCCGCCCTTGTCGTGGGCAGCCGTGCAGAAGGAGTTTCCTCCTGGAGATCAGACGCCCAATCTATCATATTTGGCGTTGGTTGCGTAGCACTGGCTTGGAGGCGCACTGGCAAGGCCACCAGGTTCCATAGTATTATAGCAATGACATTCGATTC